AAGTAAACATAAATAAAACACTGATTTTGTAGAAAAAATCTCAACTTTCGAATTTCGAAGAAAAAAATAGATGCCCTTTAAGCTCTTTGAATTTCTAGAACAATTTATGATTGGCGCTTTTTTGATAACATGAACCCAACTAGAGAGAACTGGATCAATGGTTTTGATTCCGCTGGAAATCTAAAAATTAAAATCCACTTTCGAAACTAGAAGTTCACGTTTTTTCGCGCCATTTCCACGTTCGTATTTGGAGAGTGCTATTTACGTCACTTTCAGCAGATTAATTTTAATTGAACTCAAAAAGTGCATATATACCTAAGTTATTTCATAAATGCATCAATATGTATGAATGCACATCTGTAGTTACAAGGGACTTTTAAAATTTTTCCTGAAAAAAATCAGCAAGACCTATTCATTGCTCTTAAACAAAAATTAGGCCGAGTAAACAAAGAAAAAAACTAAATTATACCGATCCGAGTAGGTAAAATTGAAACCATAATTATAAACAGAGGCGAAGCTTCGCTTCGCAAACACAAGCGAAAACATGAAAAAAGCAGCTCTATAAAATGCAATAAGTAATATAAGCCTCGAATTAGTAAAGATCGGCTAGGTCTGAGATTCGAACCTTCGACCTAGAAATTAATAGTCTTACACACTAACCACTCAGCCAAGGACGCAAACACAAGCCACAAGTAAAGCAGAGAACAGATGCTAAGCAGAGAACAGATGCTATGCAATTTCCGATCCTATAGTGAAATTTCCAAATAAGTGAACACTTTTAATGAACTCTTTTATTTGCGAGTAAGCCTAGAAAAAACACGACCACTAGAGTAAGCAGTTATTGAATAGAACGTGCAATTTAATTGGTTTCCACGTTTTTAACTCCAATCCTACTAATTCCACTCTCTGCCATTTAACACTTTAGCTATTTAAGACCACTACACTACAGTAAGCTTCTCTGTTTATTTTTGCCGGTGGGCGCGCTTTCAGCGATAACCGGCTCTATTTTTCTTAGACTCCAACCCTTTGTTAGCAAGCTGATGCCACATTGGCGGGACTGCGTCGTTTACTATTAGCTACAAATAACTGTATAATATCTCGCTATTAACTTGAAAAAAAAATATTATTATTTAGTGTTAAGTTTAACATTTTGGTGTAACGTTGTAAAAAGAGAGTTGAATTGTTTAGGAGTGCAATTGTAAAGGAATAAACTGACAAGGTAATAGGTGTTGAATTGTTCATTGTTAAGTTGTAGGACACCATTTTAAATGCTCAAAATATGTCTATTGATTTACAAAACGGCAGATTTGACAAAATTATTCAGGTATGAATAATTTGTTTAGAAGTATAGGTGATGATCCGAATTGATACCGCTTGTTTTATCAGTTGTTTAGAAGAATAGGTCTATGTTCCGAATTGATACCGCTTGCTTATTGCAACCACAGTCATAAAAGTTCACGTTAATGAGTGTAGCAGAAAAAATAAAACTTCAATTCATCAAAATTAAACACTGACTTTATTATTATAAATTTCAGTTTTCGAATTTCCAAGACAAAAATATAAGGTCTTTCTTAAAGCTCTTTGAATTTCAGAAAAAAAAGCGATTGACAAATTTTTGATAAAGTTATTTGAATTTGAGAAAACTGGATCAATAAATGAAAATTTTTATTCCGCCGGGAAATCTGAAAATTAAAATAGACTTTCGAAACTAGAAGTTTTTTTGCATATTTTCTGTATAACTTTGGAAAAAACCCAAAAGATTGATTCCAAAATCTAGCGAATATAAACGAGGAATAAACGATAAAAGTTACACAGATGCCAAACTGAACGTAATAAAAGAAGAAAAAAGCGGTAGAAGCGAGCTTTCAAAATACAAGAAAATACAAAATTACGAAAATAAATAAATACAAAAATACTTCGCAAATGCGCTGTCGCCTTGATGTCTTATGTCGTTCAAGCAGTCAACACTCTAATGATTAACACCAGTTACCAACGAAAATGCTTTAAAAAAGCGAATAATACATATATTACTTTGTTGCAAAATTACATTTGAGCCGTACACTTACCAAAAATGAGCACACAATTTGAACTTGTCTTATAAAGGCCTGGTATTGTTTTTTAATCAATTTATAGGAGATCCTCCTACATTGCGAAACCAGCGAAAACTCATAAAAAGTGCACTTTCAAAAGCTCAAAGAACCTGATCGCAAAATAACCGGGCCGATGAAAAAGTGAAAAGAGAATTTAAAAAAACTGTAGCCATAAAAAAGCAATTACAAATCAGTCGGAAAGAAACAAAATAGCAGTTAAACAAGAATTCAGAACTATTGAAAAATCGTAGCCAAAAAATCGACCCTGAAAACGTATTAGGCGATCAACAAGCAAAAACCAAAAAAAAACATGTCTTAAACATTTAGCTAAAACAAAAATTGAGCTAATTCATAATCAATTAGTCATATCGATCTTAGATTAACATCATCAAAACAATATGCAATCAACAAATTAACCAAACGCATGACACAAGAGGAAACATATGGAGCTATGAAAAATGCTATCAAAGGTTCGCTGCAAATTAGAACCAAAATGAAATAACTAAATCGAAAATAGAGAATTAAGAAAATTGAATGCAAAATCAAAACTAATTGCCACAGAAAAGAACTTCTACAAAGCCTCTTTAAAACTCTGAAAAGAATTCACTACCTATTGAATTCATTAAATGAACTTAATTGCATCAAAAATAATAAATAAAAAGTTAATACGCAACGGTTAGGAAGCTGAAACATAACAAAAAGAAGATAACATTATAAGATCGCCCGAATGGAAAAAAACAACAAAAAAACTATATCCAAATGTTCAGCCAAAAAACAATCATGCATCTTGTGCATCACTCATCAAATACCTTGGTAGACAGAACAGTCAAGTCCAAATTGCAACCAAAAACTTTCCGGGAATTTATGTTTTTTTAAACCTTTCAGTTATTAAAAAAAATACGCTGTGCCATCACCTTGAGGGGATTCAAAACGAAATTGCCCAAACGTATTCATGACGCTAAGAATCTTGAAAATAGTATCACGCACTTAAAAGCGAAAATCAGAAACCATGCACAAAAAAAAACTGAAAATTAATCAAATAATTTTTCAAAAACCATTTCAAAATTTTGTATTGTGAAACAGAAATTTATTTCGCGTGTATAAAAACATAAATCCACAAACTTTTTCACTCTCTTCAAAATTGAACCGGAAACAGAGCCGACAATCTTTCTACTTGTTCCGGAAACAAATTTCTATTTTATTCATACTGAAAAAAAGCAAGGTCCTGTCGGGACTCGAACCCCAGATCCTAGGGAGCAAAAAATACCCTAGAGTCGAGGCCAAGTAAGGCACAAAAAAGGGAGCAAAAAAGACCTTAGAGTCGAGACCCTAGAGTAAGGTTCAATAATAAAGCAAGTTCAATTTCTTGTAAGAAAAATTGTTGACGGGGAAAAAGTCTAATTCTTGATTACAAGTTACTTGCTCTGGCGAGCGTAATGAATAAAAACAAGCTTAAGTGTTTTTTTAGACTAGAATGCAGAGGTTTGTAAATCCAATCATCAGTTTCGATCAAACTTCAATGATAGCTGAGGTAAAACACCATTTCATACTTAAAATTGAGACCTGATCTAGTTTTTATTCAAATGCAAAAAGAGTTGTAAAATAATTCAGAAGCTTCAACTTCCGGACACTTTAACTTACGGAGTTTTATTAAGTCTTTTTTTCATATCAAGACTATGTTAACACATGCAGTTGGAAATGAACGCAAGTAAACACAAAGTACATGAGTAAACAGAAAAAATACTAATTTGTCTGTAAAAAAATCTCAACTTGCAAAATTCAAGAAAAAAATAGATGACCATGATGCCCTCCGAACTTCTAGAATAATTTATGTTTGACATTTGTTGATGAGATTAACCTAAATTAAAAAAAAATTAACCAATAAGTAAAACTTTTATTTCGCTGGGAAATCTGATAATTAAGTTCCATTTTCGACATTAGAAGCCAATCACATTTTTGTGACCTTTACATTTTCGCTTTTAGATAGTGAAGTTTGCGTTCTTTTTTACAAAGGAAATGAATTGAACTCAAAATCGCCTATTCAAATTAGAGTTTCGAATAGATCAGTTGTCAGCGGCATCTCGCTAAGAATTGAGAAAAAACATCGAATCGAGGTAAAAAAAAAATGCACACAAAAATAATAAAAAATCGTTTTTCTAACGTTTATTTTTCTTATCTCAGTCAGGGGTGGATCTAGGGTTTTCTTGAGGGTGGGCCGATTTTCAAAAAAGCGCGGATTATCAAAAGAGCGCGCTCTCCCTCAAAATTAGTATATAATGGCGGTTGGCCAAAAATTGATTTCTTAAAAAGTACCAAAGTACCCGCTAAACCCGCCCCTGATCTCAGTTATGATTGGTTATAGAGTATTTGTCTACTTACTGACAAGTATAAACATTCGATTGTCTTCTTACAGACCGCACCTCGGGCGGGAGGACGTTAAATTGTGCCTATTTTTTTCCAGAATCTTTCATGCCTAAAAAAAATCCAAAAATTTAGCCTCGCAAAAAAAAATAATAATCTGTTTTAAGAAAATCGAATAAATAATTAACAATACAAAACATCAAACAACCTCCAACGAATATCATGGATACTAATATCTTTAAGGACCAGAAGATATTTTTGGATCAAGATATTGATTTGTCCAGAAAAGGGCAATATGCGGAGGAGACATAGTAACATTAAAGCATCTGGAAAGCTGCATCAATACTTTCATTGAATATTCAGATCAACATAAATAAAAAACTGTGCTTTATTTCCACGCCTCAATTTCGATCAATAAAAATCAAGTCATTTGAACAAGCTTTCGAGTTCTGTACGGTCAGGTCATCAAACGGAAATTTAGATGAGCAAGCAAAATCCGACAAAAAGATTTCTCAATGAATAAATATCATCGAATATCATTGAACTTACTTTTGTCCATGCCTCCTGCTTCTGGTAACTCGACCCCGGTTTCGTCTAAGTCGCCTCTGCTTCCATCGGCATCTCCTGACGATGAATTGGAGATATTCGCACCTTCAAGTCCACCCCCTTCATTGGTCTTCTGCTCTTTCAACCACTCTGCGCATTGGGCTATGGGGGAGTCTTTCTTGCACTGTATACACAAGCTATCAACCCCGCCCGGCTTGACAAACCTGAAGCAGAAGCGAAAACAATGAACATAGATTTTGAACACTTTCACTTTTTTAAATAACATTGTTTGAATAACTCGTTTTAGTATTTCGAACTCGAAGACGCCATTGTTACATTAACTTTTAGTTGACGAGCCCAGTTAGTCCTTGTGATAGTGTTAGATGTTTTCAGCGTTGGCGGCTGTCATAGCGTAGCAAGCTTCAGGTTAGCAATGCGAGAAGTGAAGTTTTCATTAGTGACCAATCCTGGAAGAAGAATAGAAGCTACTTACCGGTAATGGCTATTCAAAAATTTCAATTTGGTTTTATACCCACTACGATTGAACAATCATTTTAAATATTGACGCAGAGCTTGAACCTTATGTCATTAACCTGTCTAGGCAATGCCATAAATCTGCTGCTTTATGTTTATTCAAACTTGAGTATTTTTTTCCAATACTTTCTTTTATGTTTTCAGATTTATTTTTTTCCTTGTCTTTGAAGATCTCAAATTTCGTCTTTCATTTGATAAAACGGGCAGTGCTCTGTAACCCAATTGGGTTCGTTAACTGTCCCCTCACTGTTTTCTGGTGCTTCATATTTAAATTCTCGTTGTATGCATATTTACCATTAACAATGAGAAATTAATTCTTTCTTTCTTTCTCTCTTTCAAAATTTTTTTAAAATCAACCACATTAAAGCTTTGCGAAGATTTGAAAGCAATTAGAGTAAAAGTAAGAATCTATTATTTTTTGATCACTTATCACATTTGTGAAGGAATTTTGGCCTAATTTATCGTTTTCATTAGCGTTCATTTGTCTACGCAGAGGCGAAACTGTTCTTTGCAAACAAATCAATAACGGCAAAAAGGAGTTTAAAAAATTTTTTCATCTAAAAAGAGTTAAGTCATCAAACGATTAGAAATATCACAATTTTTTTTCGATTACTTTCAAATCTGACCAAACGCGTGAAAGCATGTCTCTGTAACCACAGTTCACAGCTAGAGTGAAGGCTAAGCCAGGTGTGATGGCTGATCGTTGCAAGGTAGCCAGTTGTAGGGTGACGGAAGTAACAGTAACGTCTATGGCAGCAGGGCGGCTACCTCGCCATGAAGGAAGATAGACATCCCCGGGCCTCTCTCGAACACCCGGTATAAGATTGGCTTTTCTAAGACGGGAGAGAGGTTGGCGGAGACAGCGGTGCTGAAGACCTTATCACGCAGACGATCGTGCCGAGCAATAGGGTCTCCCTCTCCAGATCAGCTCACAGCGTGATCACCGAGCTTCCAGTTTCCCTGAGATAAACTTCATGCATTTTCGTATGACAGGTAGGCCCAACCTGTATTGGCAATCAATTTGAAATTCGCGTGGGCTGAGACGGAGACCAAGGGCAGATATTGGAGAGCGAGAAGCCGCGCACCATCGTGGGATAACGATAGAGAATTTAATCTCACTGACTATACATGATGTTTGTCGAAGGCACCCTCAGATTGCCGGGAGATGCTGGTCCGAAGCGCGCCTGATTCCGAGACCCCCCACTTTAACGGGAACCAGGCCATATCTGACACGGAAGCACCAATGAGCAGGGAGGAAGCGTCCCTCAAACTGTTGTCGAGAACCTTGAGGACGTTGTTGAGTTCGTCATTCGACTAAGCAATTCTGAGGGAGTAATTCAGCTCGAGTGTTCCAAGGCAAGTGCGAAGAAGACCGATACTTAAATGTGGGCCGTCCGACCCGCTCAGTTTTTCAATTAGTACTTGTGATTTGTCCTCCCTTTGGATACTCTTAGCAGTGAAACTGGCGCTACCTATCGGGGCTCCCAAAAGTTCGAAGTCACTTGATTGGCTACACGGATTTCATCAGGGAATAGCGATAGGGCATTGTCCGCAAAGACTTCGCATTTATCCAATCTTAACTCTAAACCCATTTTCGAGGCTTCGTCGGTGACAATCGACAGTTCCTGTATGAGAGATAATTCGCTCCCAGCAAGACGGCCATCATCGAGATACCAACTGTTCTGAGACAGGGAGAGAAAATCCGCATTCAACTGTTCAATGATCGGATGGAGAGCAATGGCAAAAAGTCAGGGCCCAATGGTTCACCTTGTTGAACTCCACACTCACTCGAGACAAGGTGATTGTCGTAGAAAAGATGGTTATGGTGTGAGTGGAAAAACTCTGCGAAGTCAGAGAGACCGGGCAGTCTTTTTCTGACCTCCTTTATTATTTGTTGTCTAGAGATAGAATTAAAGGCCTTCCGGAAATCGATTTGTAAGATTCCGTGATCACCCGGTAGGTCCTCTACTGTGGCTTTGCAGCTCAGAACAATAGCTTCGACACCAGCTTTTAGTGGCAATGCCCAGCTGGTAGGGTCTCAAAAGCTGCTCTGCTTCCCTTCTTGCAGCTCGAGCAGACGTCTGACAATTCCACCTACCGCAATGGGACATACATCGTTGTCTTTTTCTCCAGCGCAGCAAGATTTGCGCTACAAAGCAAGGGCGCGAGAAATACGGGTGCTTTGCCAGCGGCATGAAGGTTGACTTGGGACGTTATGGTGGTTGCCACTGCTACTGCATTGGGAGAAGTGAGGTAAGAGGTGGCATTTGAGAAGTGCTCTGGTAACCAGCGGGATGGGTCTGCTGAAGTTCCCCGAGGAAAAGACGACAGAGCTGAAAAAACAGCTTTGTTTATAAAACTGGTAAGCTGGCAGTAACTCGTCTTCTCAACTCGGCTAGCTTCTTGCCCCGTGTAATGTCACCCTTCGTTGAGCCTTTGTCTCCTTTTTTCTTAGTGCTGAACTTGTCAGCTGCTGTAGCTTCCAGACATAGGTTGTAATGATCGCCGTCTCGCAAATCTTTTCCGATTTTCGTAGTAAATATTACTTGATGGACCTGACTACCTCGTTCCGGTGCTACGATAACGGTTTCCGAAATAGACAAGTCGACCATAGCCAGTGTTAGCCCGGAAGTTGCTTCAACTTCCTCGGCAACAAGGGGCCTGGGTTGTGCTCTGGTGCAAGACGTGCAGAAGAAATCTTTATTCCAACGTCGTGTAAATCCTATGCCACTACACGACGAAATAAACCATCCAAAATCGGCCGCCGCATGACACCACACTGATCACTGAAATTAAGTAATAGCTTTTTTGAGTAATCTGCAAATGTGTGTGATGGGCGGGCCGGGGTTCATTTCGATGTACCCGCTGTAGAGAATAAGTAGTGAAAGCCAGTAGGCCTATGACCGGTGTTTGCTTTCAACGGGTCCAGTGAGTACAAATTATACAAAAGAAGCAAAGTAAGGACATTGGACGAGGCTTTGTACTTCAATATATAGATTAAAAGAGTTCTCAAGTGAGGGGAAGTTTGTGCTTCGATGATGGATACGGAGATGAGATACAATGACAAGAGGTGCCAACGCCATTAGAACTATGAGGGACTTCCTCTGGTTGATACCTCCTCGATTTCTAGAGGCAGCGTGTAGCATGCTATTTGCAAGTTGAGATCGTAGCATACTAATTTGAAACTTGTGCTTCGATGATGGATACTCTGGGAAGTTTGTGCTTCGATGATGGATACGGAGAAGAGATACAATGACAAGAGGTGCCAACGCCATTAGAACTATGAGGGACTTCCTCTGGTTGATACCCCCTCGATTTCTAGGGGCAGCGTGTAGCATGCTATTTGCAAGTTGAGATCGTAGCATAGTAATTTGAAACTTGTGCTTCGATGATGGATACTCTGGGAAGTTTGTGCTTCGATGATGGATACGGAGAAGAGATACAATGACAAGAGGTGCCAACGCCATTAGAATTATGAGGGACTTCCTCTGTTTGATACCTCCTCGATTTCTAGGGGCAGCGTGTAGCATGCTATTTGCAAGTTGAGATCGTAGCATACTAATTTGAAACTTGTGCTTCGATGATGGATACTCTGGGAAGTTTGTGCTTCGATGATGGATACGGAGAAGAGATACAATGACAAGAGGTGCCAACGCCATTAGAACTATGGGGGACTTCCTCTGGTTGATACCCCCTCGATTTCTAGGGGCAGCGTGTAGCATGCTATTTGCAAGTTGAGATCGTAGCATACTAATTTGAAACTTGTGCTTCGATGATGGATACTCTGGGAAGTTTGTGCTTCGATGATGGATACGGAGAAGAGATACAATGACAAGAGGTGCCAACGCCATTAGAACTATGAGGGACTTCCTCTGGTTGATACCCCCTCGATTTCTAGGGGCAGCGTGTAGCATGCTATTTGCAAGTTGAGATCGTAGCATACTAATTTGAAACTTGTGCTTCGATGATGGATACTCTGGGAAGTTTGTGCTTCGATGATGGATACGGAGAAGAGATACAATGACAAGAGGTGCCAACGCCATTAGAACTATGAGGGACTTCCTCTGGTTGATACCCCCTCGATTTCTAGGGGCAGCGTGTAGCATGCTATTTGCAAGTTGAGATCGTAGCATACTAATTTGAAACTTGTGCTTCGATGATGGATACTCTGGGAAGTTGTGCTTCGATGATGGATACGGAGAAGAGATACAATGACAAAAAGAGGTGCCAACGCCATTAGAACTATGAGGAACTTCCTCTGTTTGATACCTCCTCGATTTCAAAAAGGTACCCCAAAGTACTGCAAAAACGTGTAGCATGCGGTTGCAAAACCATTGCATATCCCAAGGGTATACAGTAAAACAAACTTGAAAAAGTAAGAAAAACGACCGGGACTCGAACAGCGTCGACCTCCGGCTCAACGGTTCTAGACTGACCCAACGGTCCTAGCTGCCTTTTAGAGTAAACACATCATTCAATAGTAAAAACTATGCGTTGAAAACACGCGGAAAAAGCACATGCTACTAAATTGCTCGCCAATAAAATTCCGGGCCAAAGTTAAGCATTTAGTTGTGCGAGTCAGGTAGAAAAAAATGAATCCAATTGCTTGAGTGAAAACGAAGCCGATGAGGCGAAGAGAGTGTGGTTCCATAAAAGCCCTTTGAGCCATTATTCGGAGTCCAAAAACTCATCTCAGTGCAAAAAATTCTGAAAATTTCCGTTTAGCCTATTTCTAATTGAAGTGTTTTTTTTGCACTGACTTTATGAGCAACTAGCGTGTAACAAACCTCCGGTACTCATAATAAACCGCATATAATGGAAATAAGATCTGCATTCTTTGAGTGTACTCTGACAGCTCCCCATTACAAGGAAGGGGGCTTCAAATTTCAATTAAATTATGAAGAAAAATAAACAAGTTTGCTGAAAATTTTCTGAAAAAATCACAAAAAGCCATATCTCGAGAACTAA